CCGTCTTCACCTCATTTCGCTTGCCGCTTCGTTTCCGACTCTTGCTGTGCTCTAGGGCTAAAATAGAAGGCTATTTCTCAGCAATCTCTACTACGATAATGTAAGAAGGGTTGTGGCCGGCTGCACGCATATCAGAAGCCTTTTAAATCTTCAAAATAAGGATGTCAGTTACATCTGTTCATAATAAGTTATTGAAACTCCCAAGCATAACCTAAAAACAACAAAATTTCCAACAAACCAAGAACTGGATATCCTACAAGTCAAATAACACTTGCATAGTTGCAAAAGAATAATCATCACATCATCTATGAGTGGATTAGTCAACTTCATTATTTTACATTGAGAAAAATAGTGCCCTGGTTGATATTAATGCTTGTTAATGCAGTCTCTCTCAGGAAGGCCATTTGTTGCTGATGTCAAGAAAATTTAGAGAATAACATTTTACCCCCAGTTGGTTCTAGATTGCTTTATTCGTAACTTCAGACAATCTACATCTGGATGAACAACCCATTAATATTAGTGCATAGGAACTGTAATACTGTATAGTTTTCCTTCTTTTGCTTGAAATTTTTGATGGTATACTAGGTGTAAAGTAAAATCTGTTGGAAAAGTGAGTTACTGCATATAAGTAAAAGGTATATAAGGTTAAAGTAGAAAGTATCTGTAGTTTACTCTTCTTTCTTTAGAAATAATTTTTACTATTTCCAATCTGTAGCACATAGGGAGTGGCATTAGGTGATCATTATCTCCAAACTGAACCAAACAGCCCTAGATTTAGAAACCAAACATTGGTAGCATTTGTTGACCATTTTTGCAGAACTGAACCATACAGACTAAACTTAGAACCAAACAGAATTTTTTTTTTTATTTTGTTCGGTATGTTCATTTTGAGCTTGGACTGGCTTAGTTAAGAAAATGATTTTTAGCCCAGAAAAGGCAACACTTTATCTTCAATCCTCTTACGCATTGACGAAGATTGTTGATTGAACAAACTAGGTCGTGAAATGCTGAAGTCTCTTGTAGGTCCATTGCATTTCCTCTTCCCCATGGATTTGATTTGAGTTTTTATCTTTTAGCCCGCTAGTGAACCAACCCATGTAACTTGCAAGGTAAACCCCACCACATATATCCTTTGGAGCTTTTATCACACACCGTGTGCGTGCCCACACAGAGAAGGAGGGGGGGGAGGGGAGGGAGGGGGACACACACACACTCATAAACTACGTCCGTAATTAGCATTGTCAGAACTCCATAAAGGAGCCATCTTTCGGATGAATTGGAACTGATTGCCTTGGTCTACACATCAGAAAGTCTAAGAATAAAAATTCTGGAATTTTAAACATTTAATTGTTTATATTATAGTGATATATATATTATTATATATATATAGTATATATATATATATATAATGCTTGAGTAACAAGCATCATTGTTAATCAATATGATATATTTTTTCGATGGCTAGAATAACAAGTCTTTTGAAGGTAACTTCCAATATGAACGTTTTAAACCACTTGATACATTATAGAGTGCTCACAAAAGTTCTCATTATCGACGTCTCTTTTTGAAAATTTCCCTATATATAGATATGTTTTTTTTAATCTCTAGGCATTTTACGGATTATTTTCATGATTGTACAGGGGAATCATGGGCTTTGCGATCCGTCTTCGTGGTTGAAGGATGTTTACTGGTTTGCATAGAGAACCTTTTATGTTTCAGTTCTCTAGCAGATGATAGTCGTCCTCCATATTACACTCTTGATTCACGATGCCAAATAGAGAATATTGTTGAAATTGTAAGTAATTCTTGCTTCTCCTTTGCTATTGTTGATTTTCTGAAGTAATTTACTACTCAAGTTTCTGACTTGAACTCTCTAAATTTCTTATTCTATATTGTTATCATGTTTGTTTGGGAATTGAAGTATGCATATCGTTACCATAACCTCAAAAATTTTCACATTGGGTGTACATATGAATACGGGTCTTCAGGATGGACTATCATAATACAATATGAGCATGCCCAATTTTGCGAGTGCCAACTGCACACTCTAAGCTTGAAATTAGCCCATGAATTCGTATTGTGGGCTCCGATACCATTGTATGACAGTGACTCACTTCGATTGATATTTGCTTGAAAGGTTTGAAACCGGAATATCTAAGGTTAAACTCCTATTTTCCTCTTGGTTTAAATGTATTTTACGATGCATCAGCCTTTTCTCTTATCAAATGTGGGATTGATTCTTTTCACCTTTGCCTTTATCTTCTTTTCTGCCCTTCTATGGAAATAGATGCTTGAGGCGGATTTAAGCCATAGCCTCTGCTATTTTGATTGCTCCGACTGCCGATTTGGGAGGATCATTTTCCTGTTATACGCATATTCAGAGAGTAAGCAGCAGTTAAATTGGATTTGAGCTTTATCCTCTGGTTTGAAAAGTACATGATGATGATGGACCTTTAAAATTTATATTCGCCCTCTTAAATTAAACCCCAGAGAGTAAGAAGCAGTTAAATTGGATTTGAGCTTTATCCTCTGGTTTGGAAAGTACATGATGATGATGGACCTTTAAAATTTATATTCACCCTCTTAAATTAAACCCATGACACTAAAGTAGTATAAAAATAAAATCATATAATTGGTTGTTTTCTACGGATGTATTACATACACAAAGGCACAAAGATCACACTCAATAGAGTGAGGCTAGCTCAAATAGCATTTGAGCTTAATCCTTGATTCCTTTCATCCGAGAATGACATGGTGCCTTAAACTTTCCGTCTTTCATTTTAAATTTGATCTTTGACATTCAAGTAGTCTTAAAAACAAAATGTCATATAAGTTAGATTCTTCTTCTACATATGCATTATTAGCACCTAAAAGAAATGTTCTAGTACGATGCATCAGACTGGTTACACTTAAATAGTTGTCAGCTTAAATATTTGCAATCCTGGGTTTAAAACTTAAAACCCACACTCTTATGTTGAATTTGGTTGTGACACTTAAGTTACAAGTGAAAACAAAGATCATAAATTTGAAACTCTTCTCACCCAATGCATTAACAACTTAGAAATGGTTGGTTTAAGTGTAGTTGACGTGATATGTTTGTTTATTGGCGAAAGACCTGCTTGGATTCTTACAAGTATTTCTGCCATCATTTACCGCAAAAACATGTATAGAATAACTACTTTACGCCATTTCATTTATAATTGATATGACCTTTTTTTAGTTTTACTTTATTATTTTTTAAGTTTCCTCATATAGAGGTATAACATTGCTTTAATTTAGTCGTCTATTTAGTTGATTGGTTGAAAATTTGTCTTGGGCAGTAGGTAAGATTAATTTTTCTTCTGCTTTTTTATCCTTGTGTTGGGATGCACATGGAATGGATGGATGGATATTCACATTATCAAGTAAAAACTGTATTCTGCGACAAAGCTATAACTAATAGACACTATCATGCTTGACATGTAACTTGTTAAAGATTGTGTACAAAATAATAGACATAATCATGCTTGATATGCAACTTGTTAAAGATCTTGTACAAAACAATAGACACTATCATGCTTGATATGCAACTTGTTAAAGGTTCAGTGTGGATTAGACTAATTGTGATCATGTTAATTGGTTCCTTAGTCATGTTTTTACTTTACCCTTCAAGAGTTCATGATAATGTATGGGCTTTGAGTAATCATGACTATGAAATTGCCTGCTGTGTAACTGGTAGGCCTGTTGTCAGATAGAGAAGCTATATAATTGGTCTGGTTTGATAGAGAAGATAAGGAACACCATTATTTTTCCTCTTATGACGAAACTCTGAAGAACAAGGATAGTATGATTTGTTTAGAGAAGCACTTTCTTTCGCAGGAAGTATGCGTTCCTGCAAGATGCATTTTCCAGTTCTCTGGATAAGTTTTTTTTTTTTATAATAGTGTTGAATCATGAGTATATTTTAATTGGAGGAAAGCAGAATCTACCTGATTTCTTGATTGTTTGTTTACTTTTATCTGATCTACCTTGGACATACTTGATTGTTTTTTTAAAATATGTTGATTTAAAATAACATTTTTATTGGATGCAAAGACTAGTTTACCTTATTTCTTAACTGTTAGTTTACTCTTATCTCATTTACTTTGGACATAATACCTGTGAGAATTTTTTAGGGGAATTTTTAAAAAAAGACCAATTTTTCTAAATAATTAGCAAAATAGACCATTTTTCTAATTACTTAGCAAAATAGAGGTTGATTTTAAAAAACAGAATGCTGAAAACATACGGGACTAGTAGTTCCGTATGTTTTCTGTGAGCACTAATCCCTGATTAGTGCACTAAAAACATACGGGACTACTAGTCCCGTATGTTTTTAGCAGCCTTTTTTTTTTAAATCGACCTCTTTTCAACTTGTTGGCCAAAAAGAGATCTATTTTGCTAAATAATTAGCAAAATCGGTCTTTTTTAAAAAATTTCCCAATTTTTTATGTAGGAACAAATTTGAGAAGCTAGGTGATCTTTGATATTTTTCTTGTATGATCCATGTAATCTTACTAAGAAATTATAGGTTTTTCATAAGAAAAAAAAAAACTTTTTATAGGGTTCTTCAAAACTAAATATAAAATGAAATTTACTGGTTACCTTGTCAAACTAGTTTGCTGAGAGAAACACATCGAGGCAGTATGTGCTTCCGTCAACAATCCTGTTTGTAATGGTCATTTATGTCGAGGACTTCTGGATATACATCATTTTAAGTTAAGAGTTATATTCAGTCCAGGAAACGGTGAACAATATTGAAATAACATTGAATGAATAATGATAGATTTTTTGCTACTATCTCAGGGCATAGAGGTGAATAATCGTAGATGTTTGACACTGATCCTGAACAATGTTCCCTCCGGCAGCATTTCCTCTACTGAGGAGATTGGTATAGTAACAAAACCAGAAGAAATCAACGCCAAGGTATTGAGATGGAAATTGAAGTGGTTCTCCGAAGAGACTCTGCTCAAGTTTGTGGCAGTCTTAAAAGCGATTCATCTAGGACTAACAACATCTGAACTTCCTGTGAAGCATATATCTTGATCGATTCATCTGGATCCAACAACATGAGTTGCATGTGATGTGAATATCTTGATCGTTTGTAGGACTCTAGGGTTGTACATTCATTAATTCTTTCCCCTGTTCTCTGCCAATTTTATTTGTACAGCAGCTTTGTGTTTTGGTGGTTTGTATTCTTTCAGGGCCAAGTGCGGTCCTTGTGTGAAGAAGTGTACAGAGACTTCATGTTGTATAGGTAAATTTTGTCTGTACAGAGGTGTTCATGCTGTGATTCAAACGTAAAAGAGGTTTGAATTTATTCACGGGGTTTAATTCCACGTTGAGGCAGCAGTACGTAGTTTAAGATCACAATTTATAGAAGCATTTCTGTGAATATGGTTGGAAATGATTGAACCTCAAGAATAATGCGTATACTCCCTGACTCTGTGGCTCAGAATAAAAACTTTCTAGTTTTCCTGAGTTGTGCCTCCTTGTACGCGGAGCATATGTGTAATTTTCTGATAGCTCAACATCTCGTATGTATGCTTGATGTTTAGTACGTGTATGCATATTTGTATTGTGATTATATTTGGGGTTTTCAAATGGCAGCAAAAATTATAAAGATTGTACCGACGCTATCTAGGTTCAGATCAGCCCATCTTTAACTCGAAAATGACATTCAACTCGTCAGGGACCCCGGTAACCGGCGCATATTCAAGGAAAATCAAGCCACATTAACAAACGCAGGTAAATTCTTTCTTCCGACTGTTTTAAGGACAGTATGTTCGCAAACGGGGGTTTCCCCCCTCAAATCCATCTTAAAAATGGGGGTAATTATTCACAAGCTACCTTTTATTTTCAATTTATAGATAAACCATCTCCAAAGTTGGATTTTAATGCAATCAAGCATCTCCTAGTCAAAATTTTTACTGAAAAAAAAATCAAAATTACCCTTAAAAGCTCACATCCAATGCATGCGACTTATTTTTTTCAGTATTTAGGTGTTGTTAGGATACAACTTAATTACACATCTTCAACTTTAATCCTTAAGCTTATTTTTCAGTGAATATTTGAATAAGTGGTTGATTGCAATAAAAACCCAATTTAAAGATTATTTATGTATAAATTGAACTTGAAAAGTGGTTTCCATATCATTACCCAATTTTAAAGGAAAAGGTGGTTTCTAGCGTTTTTTTCCGGGGTGGGAGGGGCCCTTCTCATATCATAACCCTATTTTAAAAGGAAAGGTGGTTTCTAGTGTTGGCATGGGCCGAGGGTTTTGCCTATGTGAAAATCGAAGTATAATCTGATTCTCAACCTTGATCAGAACTTACATAGACTACACTCTACAGTCACAGAAAGAAGAAGTGTCATCATACAAACATGTATTTATTTTTCTAGTAACCATATATACAAACACTCCTGACACTGTTTCATCAGTCCCCCACGTCGAGGGTCCCCCGAAGCCCGCCGCCGCCCTCCTCGACTCCGTCGACGGTGCTTGCTCCATGCCCTTCTCCACATCCTCCTGCTTTATCCTCTTCACTTGACAATGAACAACCTCAGCAGAAGCAGAAGCGCCATCGCCAGCGTCGACGTTTCCTCCTCGGCCTCCGCCTTGCTGTTGCACGCCGTCCTTCACCATTCCGCTCTCCCTCGCTCTTATTCACCCCTCTTCGACTTTTTGGCCGAGGTGCTAAATTTATAGAAACGAGAAGGAAAAAAAGTTTGACCGTGGAATTGATGCGTTTTTTTTTTTGAGGTTTGGACAGTTGGACACGTCTCGAAAGGGTTTAGTTTAGTTTGATTCGTTCGTGCGGGCTCGATCTCTTCTGGGGATAACTACAAGCGCAACGGAGACGTGTCTTTTCTTTCGTCAAATTAACCCGAGTCGGCTCAAGGGGTGTCGGACACTTGGACACCTGCTCCGGCCCCGTACGCATTTAATTTGGTGAGGAGTTTGACCTTTTATGTTCTGTTCCTTTTGCTTTATTTTTATTCAAGCACGAGAGAACTAAGTCTATTATTTGGTTTGGTGGGTGATTTTGATTCATTTCAAAATTGAAGGCTTTATTAATTATATCTCCAACGTGTTGTACTCGTTCTCATTTATATATCAGTCAAAATAAATCTTCGAAATCCAACTAAATAGACTATGCGATAAGGATAATAATTTCTTCACTACCTTTTAGTACGGTACCGAATCCGAATCCTAATATTCCTTCAAATAATATTGAATGGAGCTAAATATAATATCCTTATCCATGTACGTTCGGTCCATACCCAGCTAATTATTCTAGGTCAAGTTCGGATCAATCTGCAGGTGGACTCCGACAGAAACAGTCAAACTAACCATTTTCTCCAAAGCAAACCTAATAAAATGTATTAATAAGGGCTAACTCCAAGTTCACACAGGTCTACAGTCAACTCATAAAAATTCACTTGCGCGGACCAATGAGTTCATATTGGATGAAGTCCGAAATATTTGTAAGCCACTTGAGCATTTACTTTGTCTTTCCGCGTTCCTCATGCATAATAGTGTTTATAACAAGGAATGAGAATGGATAGTGTCAGAATTTCTAGAAGTTATTCAATCGTATTGTTATTCTTAAGTTTGGTTCACTTCTATTTTATAGAATGCAGTGGAGAAAGAGGAGACTTCTTCTCAAATTGAGACGAATTGCATTGAATTTCTGATATCTACTAATACATTTCATCCAATCTTATACTGCTTTCCCATTTTAATTTTATGGAATGAACTAAACACACTAGTACAAATAATTGAGCATTCCATCAACTTTTAATTTCTATAAAAAATTTAAGAAAAAGATATAGAAAAGACATTTTAGTATCCTATTCTTATTCCTTTTTTTTCCAAACAATACTCCCTTGGCTCCAAGGCCTTCCCCTATATACGTACACCTGACATCAGTGCAACTAAAAGCTCCATAATTTTGTCGGGAACAAGTGGCATATTAAATTATTTTTATATGTAATTAATCGTGATGATGCAAGTGAGAATCACGTCTACATATATTGATAACTTTTTTTAATTTTTTTATTTAAGGAAGAGAACAAAAATACCACACAGTCTCGTACACGTTGAGCTCTCTGCTTGTGGCAACTTGTCTATTTCTAAACTAATCTTCTTAAATTATGCTTGGTGATAAATTGATCTGCTTACGATATGGATCAGAACTGAATTTGTACCATTTTTGATGCGCAGTTAAAGATACATAAAGTTCCTGTTAAAATAGAACATAAAAAGTACCATTTTTACATCAGTTTATGCCCCAAATGAGAAGGAAGATAGAGAAGTTTGTTGGTGGGAGCTTAATCGAATTAGATTATCTTTTAATGGGCCATGGGTGCTTTGTGGTGATTTTAATGTTACCTTGCATGCTGATGAGAGAAATGGAGGAATGTGTTCATATAGAGACATCAACTCATTTAGAGATCTCATTGATAATTTATCTCTTTATGATCTTCCCCTATCAGGTAGATCATTTACTTGGTCTAATAAACGTCTATCTCCTTCTCTAGCAAGACTGGACAGGTTTCTTGTTAGCTCTGAATGGGACAAAAAATTTCCATCTTCCTTGCAATTTTCCCCTCCTGCTTTCGGCTCTGATCATTCCCCTATTGTTCTAGATAGTTCTGGTCTCCATCCTGCACCTCCTATTTTTAGATTCGAAAGAAGTTGGCTGCAGAATCCAAATTTCATTCCTTTCATTACTAGTTGCTGGAACTCTTTCAGGTGTCATGGAAGTCCTGTAGATGTTTTCATTTCAAAACTCAATCTTACCAAAAGAAGAATAAAATGGTGGAAAAAAATTGTCTTGGTTCTATTGCTTCTAGGAAAGATGAGCTTCTATCTAAAATCAACTCTCTTGATTTGTTGGAGGAACAAAGGCCTTTAACTGATTCAGAATTCCATGATAGGAAGTCTCTTCAATCCTCCTTCTCTTCTATTCTTCTAGAAGAAGAAACTTATTGGCATCAGAGATCGAGAATTCAATGGTTGAAGGAGGGTGATGCAAATACGACTTTTTTCCATAAAACTCCTACTTTCCATAGGAATGCAAACTTCATTTCTTCCATTAATCATCAAGGAAAAGATCTGTCAAATGAAAAAGATATCTCCAATGCTTTTTGTGAATACTTCTTATCAATTTTTGGTAGAGATTCAAATTCTACCATAAGTATGAACTGGTCTCAGTTATATCCTCACGAAGATGTTAATCTTACCTCCTTAGAAGACACCTTCTCAGAAGATGAAATCAAAAAAGCAGTGTTTGGTATGAATGCCAACAAAGCTCCAGGCCCTGATGGTTTTTCTATGGCTTTTTACCAGACTTTTTGGGATGTTATTAAGTATGATTTGATAAATTTGATGACTTTTCTCCAACAAAATCCTTCTAGCTTATGTAGGGTGAATAAAGTCTTCATCACTCTCATTCCCAAAATCAGAGATAGTGTTCTAGTGAAGGATTTCAGACCAATCAGTCTTATAAATTGCATTTTCAAAATTTTTTCTAAGGTGATTGCTAACAGACTGGCTCCTCTTCTTCCTGATTTAGTTTCTCACACTCAATCAGCCTTTCAGTCAGGAAAATCAACTCTAGATTCCATTGTCATGGTGTCACGCCCCGCTTCCCAAAATACCAGGGAATCGGGACGCGAGCAAGCCCGCGACGTATTAGACTGAGAAGAGATAAGTGCTAGACCCCGTCTTCTCAATCTAATACGCTAAGCGTCTGGAAATAAGTACAATACGAAGTCACAGGTCCCCGATCACACATAGCAAGAATATAATGACAACCCAGAATAAAATAGACATATCATCAATGGTAAATCATCCCAAATATAAAATATGGGTCAAACATACCCTTATACAAAACTAGAGAGATAAAATACACTGATCAGCGAAATGGAAAGAACTACAAAATAACTGGAACCATCAGCTAATAATGAAAATAATAGGCTTCGTCTCCTTCTTCTGCTCCGTCTACAAGGCACTCCTGCGGAGGATCTTCCGGCTCCTGGCGATCTCCTAGCTGAACCTGTTCTTCTCCTAAGTCTGACGTACACCAGAGAAAACAGGTGTACGTCAGGTGCATGGCGCACGGCAAGACCCGACCCCACAAGGAAAATAGAACAACGAAAACCAAAACGGAAACGATACGATAACAGAAATAAAAATAGAACATGTGATGATAGTAATAACAATAGAGGCGTGCAACTGGAATACTAATAATCATACGAATCCAAAAATCAACCAAGTAACAAGATCATGTAGGTAGCGATCAGAAACCATCCAAGCAACAAGATCATACAATAGATAGAATTAATATTTAAAAATCTACAACAAGAGACGTAGTACGTCGAGCGAAATAATCCAAACAAGGAAACCCTCATGTATATACCATATGTCTCAAATTGTAAATACTTAAATATTAATCCCGATCTATGTATGAAAAGAACAACAACTGGACTACCTCTCACAAGAATTCATACCTAGCCAAGAATCTAAGTCATGTAAATAATCATCCTATAACAGGTCACTGGTTCACATCTCACAGGAAATAATCAACAAGCATAATATCACATCATCTCAGACCCACCCCAACGCTACACAGGAATTTCGTTGGTGCGAGCCTGGAAATAATCAACAATCACATATCACGACACCTCAGACCCACCCCAACGCTGAAACGATTCACTGGTGCGAGCCTGGAAATAAACAACAATCACAATATCACATCACCTCAGACCCACCCCAACGCTACACAGGAATATCGTTGGTGCGAGCCTGGAATAATCAACAATCACAACTGCTCACATGAACCAAGGACTTACTTCACCCAAATTCTCATAATTCCAGGTCAACTACACATCAAGATTCTCAGAGTGCACTAACTGTGTCATACAGGTCTACTATAGACTAAAAACTCCTATGATTCTCAATCACAATATGAATAAGCATGCCAGCTAATCAGTGACTTAATATCATAACATATCAGAATAAATCAAATAAGAAATTATTAAAATCGATAAATTACAACATCTACATAATCAGAAAATTGAATCTTTATTCTAAATTAATTCATTTGTAAATTATTTTGCTTAAACACATTCAACTAATTAATTCATTTTCCAAAATAAATCTTGTTAAATTATTATAATTATCTAAAATGATCTTTTGCCCGAACCTCAAATCTTTTAATTCTTTATTGAACTTTTCTGGAAAATGTCATTACCATATATAAAATTCTTCAGCAAATCCAATCCCACGCCAGATATATTACGGTCACAATTAAACTATGCAAAATCATTAAAAATCGTAAATAATCAAACTACGAAATAGGAGAGCGGATCTTGCCTCGGGTTTTGTCGAACAAATCTACTGTTTGACGGCGAGGGGTCGCGATCCAACGCGGCGACACGCGTGCAGCGGCGTTGCTACGTCGACATGGTGGTTTCGCCGCGGTTGTAAGCCAGTGGTCGGCAGTGGGTGCGGGGCAAGAGGGCGTGCAGGCAGGGGACGTGATAGGGCTTGGGTCGTTCTGTCCTTTGCGCGCTGTCCAGCCAAGGGGCACGTGGGCCTACAGGAGGCGGTGCAGGCTGGGCGCGGGTTTAGGGAGCAGCGACGCACGAGTGCTTCATCGCGGCGAAGGAGGAAGGCCGACGGGGCGCTGGTCGGGCGTGTCTCGTTGGTGACGCGGACGCGGGGTGTGGTATTGGCGCGCGCATGGCCAGAGTGCAGGTGGCGGCTTCGTGGGGTGGAAGGAAGCAGATGGGCGAGTGGGTGATGGAGATGGCGGGCGCGGTTGCGTCTGACGGGGGCGGACCAACGGAAGGGCAGTCAGCGGGCGGAGCATGGGCCGCAGGTGGCGCTGTGTCGTTTTCGTGAGCGGTGAGGGCAGAAGAAGAGAGAGCAGATAGAGCGGTATAGGGGCTATGACTCTCAGTGAACACGAAGAGGGCAGAGTAAAAACGAACATATATATAATATAGTTAGGTCGTTAGGGTACGCGTTTTATAACTAAAAATAATATTAAAAATAAATAATTCGATTACTTAAACAATTAAAACAATGTACAGAATAATTATCTACAATTAAAAACTTACATTTGTGCCTAATACAATAGTTGAAAAATACCCATATTGTATAATTAAACAAGAATAATTAATAATAAAAATATATTTACTTACATTTAAAATCAAATAATTATGGGATAATTATATACACAGTAAAACGTACAAGTTATACTAACACGACATATAATATGTAACAGTAGAAATATACAATACATTATACCAAAATCACGTAATTAATAATACTATGTATTATGTGAAATAATTTGTAATAATATTAATAACATAATACATTATTTAAAATAATACGTAATAGTACCGATAACACAACAAATTAATTTTAGAATTTTTTTACTGCATAAAATAAATTTATAAATATTTAAATCATTTAAATAAATATATAATCAGATTTTTAAATCATTGAAAATTATAGAAAATGAGAAAAATACAAATACTCTTTTAAAAATAATAAATAAATATTTTAAAATACCAACAATTATTTTAACTAGTATCAAAATTCACGGTCCTTACATTCTACCCCCCTTAAAACAAATTCCGCCCTCGGAATTAAAATAAGAAAGAACCTAATGACAGGTATGGAATGATATCCATAAACAGATGAGACAAGAGACAAGAAACAATGGGAAGTTACGAGACAAGAAATAGTAGAAAGTTCCGGAGTCAAAGAATGATAAGATAGGGACAAAACGAAATCTATCAAGAGAATAGAATAAGGACTCAAGAATAGTCTCACGGATGAAATATGATATGTTTCTAAATTGTCTACTATATTCTTACTAGTGTGAAATCGGGACCGTGACCTGCATGGGCCACCAAAAAAAACTGTCACGCCCCGCTTCCCAAAATACCAGGGAATCGGGACGCGAGCAAGCCCGCGACGTATTAGACTGAGAAGAGATAAGTGCTAGACCCCGTCTTCTCAATCTAATACGCTAAGCGTCTGGAAATAAGTACAATACGAAGTCACAGGTCCCCGATCACACATAGCAAGAATATAATAGACAAACTCAGAATAAAAAGATACATATCACAAATGAATATCATCCAAGACATAATGTTCGGGTTAAACATGCCCTTATACATATTGAACAAATGAAATACTAGAGAGATAAAATACACTGATCAA